TGGCCATAATTAAGGCCAGGAAATTAGTACTTCAGTCCTTTCTGATTGAAAGTTTCAGAGAAATAAATCAAATCTGGTTTGTTATTATCAAGTGGGTCCATAACTTCTGTACTGCTCATCTGCTGCTAGAGCTAGAATTAGATGTTGACAAAGGCCCAAAATAATTTATTGGGCTTTGAGAATTTAGTTTCCTCCTGTTGGGATTAAAATGGAATGAATATGTTCAAACCTGACCAAAGAATTGGGCCAAATCAGATTAATCTAACCTCTGTTTTAGCCCACAAGTACAGAAACTAATCCTATCAAGTCCCCAAAAATTAAAAAAAAAAACTTTAAAAAACTTTAAAAAAAAAAAAAAAATTGTTGTGCAATTCAAATTGCTTAGATTGAGGTGGTTCCTCTAAATACAAGGGAAAGAAAAAACTTCAGTAAATATTTTACATTTCTGTTTGCTTTTAGATTTCTGTGAAAGGACAGTTCTAATCAAAGCTAAATCTTGTTTTATAGATCCAAGTGAAGAAAACAGATGATCAGATTCATTCAGCTCTAGTTTTTTACACCTACAATTTAGTAAAAAACAGAAACTGAAGTCTTAGTGTTCAAAATTCCCCCGGATGGATTGAACTTCCTGAATTATCATTCACATTCTCCACCAAAATTTTTCATTATGACTAGCTCTGTGCTTGCTATTAATGATTTCATGCATGCTTGAACAACTTCATGCTAAGCCAGCGGAAGTATATAGCAACCACAAGAACAGGAAGGATCAATGGCACCAAGAGGTAGTAATACCTGTTAGGAGGAAAAACCCAAGGTCAAGTGAAATAAAAGAGGACTACCACTGTTGTCATAATCAATAACAGATATCCAGTTCCAGAACATAGTTTCTAGAGTTAAGAAAATGAGAAACTTTTTAAATGTTGTAAGTGGCAAGTTGCAATCATGCACGAAGCTAATAGTTGATGATGCCTCAAGGCAGGTAAGAGAACTACAGCCAACATCTAGCTTGTATTAAAAGGGGGCCAGAAAGGTCAATTTTAGAACCATTCAACAGGCTGAATTCAAACTGTTCAACAATAATGAATAACCTCAACAAGACTACAACAAAAGCACTGAACATTAATGTTAAGCTATTCCAGGACTGTCATGTAAATCCTTGATCTCTATTTCATCCACTCAAGAATCATATTGTTACAAAGGTCTAAGGAAGAAAAGAAAAGCCCTTTGTTACTACTTCAGCCTATTTAATCTTTCAGCACAACTATACCCTCTTTGTTTTCTTATTACTTAAACCTTTTTCTCTAGATTGACAGAATCATCAACATTTTTTACATCCATGAAACTTCGATCATCAATGTGACAAGAATAGCTCACTATCTAATATCAATTACCAACATCAGCTATATTAACAAAGCAAGAAACTATACCTATGACCAGCAGATGTAAGAATGCTCATGCAACATTACTAGGGGATAAAAAATGGTTGAATCCACACTCTGAGAGGTTTCAGTAACAACTTCAGTCATCTGGTGAATGCACAGGTTTCAGAAAATGTCTCAAAATCAAAACTATTAAACACACATGGGATTATACAAAACCTAAAAAGCCATCAAGTGGGAAGATTCTACACAACTTCTAAATGAATTAATTTTCCTCAGGACACCAAACTTTTTTACAAGGCAAAACCTTTGCTTATTACATTGAAACTAACTTAACTCCTTAATTAGAACTTCACATGTCTGAGTAAATTCATCATCCATTATCATGAATTAAGCTTAGCGTATCTTAATATAAACCCAGAAAGAACAGTCATAGAAATTCCTAGGAAAATTAGTGTCAGCTAAAGCCATAGTAAAAGAAGGCAACTTTGGAAAATCAAGATGAGTAATTGCCCAGGAAAATTACCTGTCTTTCTGGACAGCGGCTATGACGGGGTTATTGGAAGGCGGAAGAAGCTTCGACACTACAGCAGCAAAGACGAACAAGGGCAAGAAAATGGAGCCGATTGCGATGAAGAACCATCCCCAAAATGTTGTCTTTCCAGGGGGACCGGGGCTCGACCGAGAACCCACCATGAATAAAGCAATATTCACACAAAAATCCGAGCTTTATCCACGATTCCGATCAAAGATGGTGTCATCTAAAATGGGGGCGTTGGGAACCAACAAACACTAATCCATAACAAACGAGTCAAACCCCAAATTGAGCTACACGACAAATGAGGTGTCAAGGGGATGATAAGGCGAGGGTTCCTAGCACTCCTCTTAAAGTTTACTCATTTAGAAAAAAAAAAAAGATAGATAAGGATGTAATTATAGTTTCATAAAACATATTGCACGAATTTGTAACTATGATAAAATTTATGGGGGAGAGATTGCAATTCTGCCGTAAAAGGAGAGGGTTAAAAACGGCTTAAAGAAAACCAAAAACCCTAGGGTTTTGGACACTATCATTTGAAAATGCTCTTCTTGCA